AATAGATTGTTAACATGTAAGTTCCATTTCAAGTGGTTATCAATAATTAATCCTAAATATCTTATTTTTATAACTTTATTAATTTGCTTACAGTTAATTGAGTTACAGTTATTGTTATTAGAACATTCGTGTATTGAAATGGAGCTAATAGTAGATTCGGATTTGTTAATAGAGAACGGAATAAATACTGTTTTTTCTATGTTTAAGGATAGAATTCTTTCTTTCAATGTTTTTAATATTTTACAAAAGCCATTTGCAGATTTTTCATAAACCCCTTCCCATGTATTATGTGAGAAAAGCAGACAGGTATCATCCGCATATGTTACTATTGAACCCTCAATGTTAAGATCACAAATTTCATTTATATATAAAATGAATAAGATAGGGCCCAATACACTACCCTGAGGTACTCCATATTTAATTTCATACATGTTACCATTAATTCCATTAATTTTAACTGTTTGCTTTCTATTAGTTAAATAGCTTTTGAACCAGGTTAGACTACATTTATTTATTCCAAAGCTGGGCAATATACTTAATAAAATTTCGTGATCAACCGTATCAAATGCCTTAGCTATATCTAAGAAGATAGCCAATGATTTTTTATTATTATCTAATGCGCTGTACAAATACTGGGTAACCTTATAAAGGGCATTATCAGTACTCAACCCTGGCCTAAAGCCAAATTGGTTTTTTGATAAAAGTTGATTTTTTTCTAAGAAAGATATTAGTCTTAATTTAATAATTTTTTCAAAAATTTTAGAATAATTACTTAACATAGATATTGGCCTATAGTTGTTCATATTTGTTTTATCCCCACTCTTGAATATAGGCTTAATATCCGCTATTTTTAGTTTATCCGGGAAAATGCATCGCTTTAGACTTAAATTATATATGAAAGCAAGGGGATCTACTATGTATTTGCTTATGTGCTTTAGGATTTTCACGGTCACTCCATCCAAACCCGCTGCCGTGTCATCTTTAAGACTATTTATAATAATAAGTATATCTGAAGATTCAATTGTATTAGAAAAAATTTCATTAAAAGAAATATTTTTAAGTTCGTGGTATTTTTTGAAGTAGGTGATTTATTTGTTATATTTTTCGTGATATTAATGAAAAAATTATTGAACATATTGGACGCAGTTATGGGATCATTTTTAGTATGTATTTCATGTTCATTAAGTTTTATTTTGAAAATTTCATTATCACTTGTACATTTAGATCCGTTAATTTCATTTATTAGTTTCCAGGTTAATTTAGCGTTCGAGTTAACATTTTTAAATTTTGTTTGGTAAAATTTCTCTTTTGCTAGTCTTATAGTTTTTGTGTAATTGTTTTTGAATTTCTTATAATGTAAGTTTAACTGTACATTATTAGGGTGTTTTTTACATTTCATTGAAAGAGACTGTTTGTGTCGGACCGAAATTAATAAACCCTTAGTCATCCAATCTTTTAGTTGCTTATTCTTAGCATTCATTAATACAGTAGTTGTTGATTTAGTAATTGCATTTTGAATTATATTTTCAAAGGCATTATAGCATTTATTGACATCGTTGAATTCATTATACACTTCATGCCATTTTTCATTAATTAAATTAGATACAATTCTATTATAATCAATAATGTTAAACCTTTTGTCCTTATTATCTACTTTGGCATTGTTAGGTATAGAAACACATATTGTACAGTGATCTGTGATATCTGATAGTATCACACCCGAATTAATTTTACTCATTAAGTTTTCGTTACAATTAATTAATACGTGGTCTAGACACGAATGATTAAAACCCGCAGGTAATCTAGTAAAAACATTTATGAAAGATATAAAACCACATTCAGACAGTAAATTTAGATATTTATTATTTTTTTTCTCTTGAACACCAACAATATTGATATTCATGTCTCCTGCAATAACGGTTAACGTGTTACTATAATTATTTTCTTTAATGAGGTAACTTAATGTTTCGACAAAAATGATCAAAATAGTGAGATAACAAATCAAGAGAGGAATTTTAGAGCTCTTCTAAGGTTTCGTATTGATTCAGGTGACTCAAATCTGCATCAACATTTAAAAGCAGCAAACTCCAATGTAACATACATCAGCAAAACAGTGCAAAACGAACTGATTGATACATGCAAAGATTTGATTCAAGAAGCTATTTTAGCTAGAGAAAAGGAAGCAAAAATATTTTCATTAATATTTGATAAAACAACTGATATCTCTCACACTGAGCAGTTGAGTCTCTCCATACGATATTTTTACAATGGAGTAATCAAGGAGGATTTTTTAACTTTTTGTGATGCTTACAAGATGATTAATTTTGAGGACAAAAGAACAGAGCGTCGTTTAACATACGTTGCATTGTAACGTATAGTTGAAGATCTTTGTTTTAAATATGATATTGATTTGGTATGGTGTGTTGGTATTGGTACAGATAGTTGCTCTGTGATGGCTTCTGAAACTAAGGGTGCAGTTCATGAACTTTCTAAAAAAGCCATTAACGCTAAACGTTGTCCATGCAACAACCATATTTTAAACAATTCATTAGCTAAATCTTCAAAAGTTTCGGCTTGTCGTAATGCTTCAGCAACTATGAGGAAAGTGGTAGCTTTTGCTAATGCGTCAGCAAAACGGCACAAAGTCTTTGAAGAGGAGCTTGAAGGAATGGCTCTACAAGGAATATGTGAAACTCGTTGGGTTGAAAGGCACGATGGACACTTACAATTTCAGGGTGATAACTTGGTCAAAATGTGTAATGCCCTTCATCGAATTTCAACTTGGGAAGACAGTAAAACGGCGAGTGATGCTCAATGTCTCCGACATGTCTTATGCAGTTCTGAGTTCATTATTGCATCAGTATGTTTGAATGATGTCTTAGGTAAGTGATGATTTATAGATTTTTAGAAAAAAATTATGAATTTTTATTTAATGTATTAATATTTTACATTTCAGGTACAACTGTTTCACTTAGCCGTTTTCTTCAGACTTCGTCTATTTACTCGAAAAGGGCAACCGATGCAATGAAAGACACCATTCGTCGTGTTCTTAAGCAAAAGAGAAAAGATAGTGATGTTGTTTTCCAGCAATAATTTTAGAAGTCAAAAGAGATTTCCGAGCAGTTAGATGTGGAGATAAAATTACCAAGAATTGTTCCTAGACAGAAGCGCCGAGAAAATAATCAGCCGGGTCAATCTGCAGAAGAATATTTCCGCAAAAGTATCTATATTCCTCTCTTGGATTCAATAATAGCAGATTTAGAAGAACGACTTTCTCCAGAGGTGGTTTCATTATTTAATTTGGGTGTATTTTTACCAAAAACTGATTACTTAGAAGTTGATTTGGTAGCCGTACGGGAAGCAGTTAAAAACTACACTGAACTTCAACATAGGCCTCATATATCTAAGGTATTGTCAGAATTTCAGCTTTGGGTTACAAAGTGGAAACGCGAAGTAGAAAATGGAAATAAAGTACCGGAATTCTTACCTCAGGTAATAGAACAGTGTGACATAGATTTATACCCGAATATTAATAATCTATAACGAATACTCGCAACACTTCCTATAAGTGCAGCTACAGCGGAGCGATCATTCTCCACTCTCAGGCGCCTTAAGACGTGGCTTCGTTCAAATATGGGAGAGGAACGCCTCATTGGTCTCGCTTTACTTAATATTCACAAGAATATAGCAATAAATGTTGATGCAATTATTTCCAGATATGGAAAAACAAAACGAAGGAGACTAAACTTTGTCATTTAATTAAAACAACAATTATTAATAAAGTTCTCATTTTAATTTATAGTATACTTTCATTATGTTTTAACTATGTATTAACATTTTGTCTTTTCATAAATATGAGTATATGCCCCCCCCCCCCCTAATTTTAGTTCTATATCCGCGCCTGTTTGATACTCATAGTTATCATTTATACGTATTGCAATTTATATCTGGATATATTTCTGTTAAATTATATTAACCTAAATTGTTGTACAAATTTCAACTTTATGAATTCAATAGGTACTCGCAATTAGCGTTATCGTAATCGGCGATAATGTAATTGGTCGTAATCCGTGTTTTCACTGAATGACCTAATTACGTTCCTTATCGACGCTGTTTTGTAGTATGTATTTTTGTCCGTTATGAAATTTTCGGGTTAAATATTAGTGTCCGTGTCCGTAATAGAAGGAGTCCGTTATAGACAGGTCGAAATACATTGGAATGCCTATCTTTTTTCCGGGACCTGGACATTTTGTCCGTTAAGAGAGGTGTTCGTTAAGTCAGGTTTCACTGTAATAGTATTTTAAGAAGAAAAAAAGGTGGCCAACCATGTTTAATAAGTAATTTGGTTAGAAAAAGTTGCGTATCTTTCAGATAAAGTTTCGTTTTTAAATTAATTAATTTTGAGTATAATAGTTTTAAAATTAAATACATTTTATATGAAATAATTCAGTTAAAACTTTTCTGAAGAAACTTGATCTTTAGATAAAAAGAATTCAGGAAACTACGTATGATATGTTTCCATCATATTATTTGATTGAAGATAAATTGGTAAGAAAAAAATTTAATTAATGTAATGCAATGAGCAACTAAAAAAATATTTGTCGAAATTAAAAAATAAAATATTGAATTATTTCCCACCATCTCATGATATTCGATTAAACAATAAGTGGATTCTTAACTTATTTTTTTTCTATGAAAAACGTTTTATTAAGTGAGAGCCAACTATTTCCATTATTGTTAAATATATTATTAGTACAATCTAATTAACTACAATCAAAACCAAATCAAAAAATAAATTTGATTTCAAACTCGCGATGAGTGTTTCCAATGACAAGCTATGTATATATTATTGTTAAATCGTGAATATTATTGTTAACTACTAGTAAATAGAGACAAATTGTCTTTAAGTTTTTTCACTTCACTCAATTTAGAGTAGGTGTACTAATAAAGAACAACTAGATATTTATAGTGGTATAGATCTTAAATACAGTTCTACTTACCCAACAGTCATGTTGTATTTATACTGGTCTACCGAACTGTCAAAATCCATAACTACAACCGTCTCGTGCGGGTTTGTTTCAACCGCAGTACTGTTAGACGATTCACTAATCGAATCTATTGAAATGTTTGACGCCATAAAATCGGCGCTGAGCAAGCCAAATGGTTTTTTTAGCCAACTACCATACGTAGATGGCATAAGTGTGCCAACGAGTTTGGTACGGTGGTTCATAGTCGTATTTTTGAACACCGTGCTCGAGTTAGATGCCGTCAACCATTGTCTGGAGCGCCAAGTCTCGCTCTTCATGAATTCACGACTAGTCATTGGCAACATATCCTCGGGCTTCATCCATTCATCCTGTTCACCTATCCTGGTTTGGGTGTCGCCACTTCTTTGCGTCGTGTCGTCTTCTAAAAAACCTTTATCATACATTTTTATTTGTTAACAATTTTGCAGTTTATCAGCATTTTTATCTTTAATAATTTAAAAAGAACCATTTTCACCAAATACTGTTAGCTAGTGAAAATGTGTTGTATTTTATTAAAATTAAAATACGTAAAGTGCAATCAGGAGATTTATTTAGTTTTAATATCTATCAAAATAGTATTTCTGACCTAAAGTCCGCGACACAAAAATTGGCGCCCGAGTACCGCGGCCCGCACTGCTTTCCTACAAAGAGCCACGAATTATCAACCTATAACTTTTTTTTTTTTAGTGTTTGTATTATTTGTTTTAAGTTTTTAATATTTTATAATTGGTTTGAATAAACAAAATATTAGTTTACAAAATATTTATTGTATTTTCAGTAAATGAAGTTCGAATTCAAAAAAATACGACAATTAATTTAATTACGTTATAGACCACTGATGCGAAACGGCCGCTAAGGTTAGGAGCCAGTTTTCGTGACGTGGACTATAGTTTATAATAACAACAACTGGAATATGTAAAAAAATTACTTTTTGCTGTAATTGGATGATAACCTAATTATCAACAAGATACGTATTATAAGTAGCGTAAAATATAACATAACCTATCAATATGATATTATGTAAAGTGTAATTAAAAAGTTGGAATTGTGTTATATTTATGTTATTGGTTGCTGTTATGCTGATTAGTCCAGAGGTTCTTACATTTATAACGCCAGCCCCCCCCCCCCTTTTTTGGTCAACCACAAACCTGAGCACCCCTTATAGAAATAATTTTAATAGTTATGTTTAGAGTTAGAAATTGTTAAAAATAAACAAAAAATATAGGCTAATATTGATATTAGTATTACAAATTTATTTTAAAATAAAATGTATTTTTTATAAAAGGTTTAAATTAATCGGCCAATTTTATTATTATTACGGACATTCCACAAATTTTTTTCTGTCCTTCCAATGCAATGTTGATTTTTAAAATTTTCTTATGCATCCCCCCCCCTACTATAAAGCTTTCGTTGCCACTAGGAAGGTCGCGCTCCACACTTTAGAACCTCTGAATTAGTCTTTAAATCACCAAAGCTAAAAATTTTTTTTTATTTCTTAGTTAAGATGAAAGAAAATATGCGTAATGGCACATAAAAAATATTTTTAATATAGGGAATGGTCATAAAAATAAAAATAAACAATATACAGAGTGTTAAAATTTCATGTGACAGCGGATTTCAGCATAATGTATTTAAATTAGTAGAAAACGACCAATATGAAAATCTTTTTGAATCATGTAATCTAAGTTATCTTGATGGAATGTGATATAACAGAAGTGTTCATGGCAATTTTACTATTTTATACCATTCCTGTAACTTTAGCAGGAGCTGAAAGATCTTTCAGCAAACTAAAAATAATCAAAAATAATCTTAAAAATAGTACCGGACAAGATCGAATCAAATATTTATCATTGATTGCAGTTGAAAACAAGGCAGCTTCAAAATTGTATTTAAGTGAAGTGATAGATCAATTTGCTAATATTAAAGCTCGGAAAAGATTATAAATTGGATTTGATAGCCTTTATTTTATTTTATTTTATTAGATAGAATTAATAAATTAATAATGATAAAATGTTAGTATTTAAAATTTGTTTTAGTAATTAAATGGATTTCCTTTTTATTTAGAGTATCAATTTATTATCTGTTTATTATTTTCTTTAATAGTTTTATAGAGGTATTTATATTTTAAACAATAATATACGTATAATGTGGTTTTTCCTATAGATAGAATTAAGGAGCCTAATTTATTAACTGCCCCGGGGCCCATTCTCATCTTGTTACGCTACTGGATACCTAGTAATTATCATTATTTTATTCATTAGTGAATGGATGTATTTGTTTTTCTCATATTGTAATAAAATAATATTGTATAATAAATGTATATCTTAAACATTTAAAACGTTAATATAACCTTATAATATAAAAATGTCACCAAAAAAAGTACGTGCTATTGCAATGCAGAAAGCCCAATTGGGTAAAACTTCTTTAAAAAAACGAACAAAGTTTGTAAAAATATACGGTAAGTAGGTAGAGGGCCGTATTTCGGTTTGGTGGCGCCCCTGGCGAATCACTGCATTTGCGCCCCCTCCCCCTCCTCCAAATTAAAAATATACATTAGTTTAAAAAAACATTTGAGATATATAAAACATGTAAAAACACATAGTACCTATATATCAAGTAATAATAACTAATAACATACAACTATTGTGTTTAATAATTTTTAATTTATTTTTATATAATTTTTACACAATATTACAAAGGTACTTTTCTTGATTTAATTGAAGCAAATTGATCAATGACATCATCAAATGAAATTGTCTTCACTATATCTTTTTCTATAGATAATATAGCCATTCCGGCGAGACGATTTTGACTTATTGTTGATCTTAGATTATTTTTTATGATTTTCAGCTTGCTGAAACTCCTTTCACAAGAAGCCGTAGTGACAGGAATTGTTAAAAATATCCGTAGTGCTACCTCTAAATTCGGATATAAATCTTTTAAAGAGTACTGATGAATATGCTTTAGAATATCTAACTGAGTTGCATTCTCAAATTTTGTCATTAATAATGGAGCCTGATATTTGAAATTCTCAATTTCAGAATACAACTCTGCAACATTTAAATCTCGATCATACTTCAATGCCAAATCATTAACCCAGAGTTTTATTTTTTAGACTCCATAGTTGATAATAAGTTACCAGACAAAAAATTAAAATCAGATGCGATTTGTGACATTTTTTCAAACCTCCAACATAAACTGGATAAAATAGAATCTAATGCTTCATAACATTGAGCTCTAAATTTATTTTCTGTGTCTTTTGATTCAACAGAGATACGTTTGTTGGTAAATTCAGAAGTAATATTTAAGGATTTGGCCATATCTTTCGCCTCACTCAGACATTTTTGAAAACCATTTTCCCTTATTTCTTGAATTGATTTTATTAAACCGTTCAACATTTTAACAGCTATATCTATGGTTTGGTTTTTAGTTTGCAATGCAATATTGACGTAGTCTATCTGGTTTAAAACTATATACCATAGATCAAGTAAACATAAAAATTTTAAATTTACTTGGTATAATAAATGTTTAGCACCTATCTTTGTATCATTATTAAGTTTAGAATCCTCAGACAATTTTTCCAATACTTCATAAACACCTTTTATGTTATTTTTAAGTACACTTACGGTCTGTTTTTTAGTAGACCAACGGGTCTCACAGTGTGATTTTAATGTTATTTTTAGTACATTTTTAATTTTTTCCCATCTTGATGTTGAACCAGAAAAATATGTAAATAGTTTTTAAATAACACCAAAGAACGTTATAATATAATAGTTGGAGAAGTTTGTGCCGCATGTACGCCAATTAAGTTTAAACTGTGAGCAGCACATGGAACAAACATAGCCAAATCATTTTTGGAAATAATATGAGCCTGAACTCCATTATGAACTCCAGCCATGTTGGCGCCATTATCAAAGCCTTGTCCTCTGCAATCCATGATGTTTAATCCATCTTCTTTCAATTTACTTGATATTTCATCAGCTAATCCTGATCCAGTTTTCTCGTGGCATATGATAAAGTCAATAAATGATTCTTCTATTGATACTTCACCATTAACAATGTGTACATATCTAATTATTTCAGTTAATTGCTCTTGGTGAGAAACGTCTGGTGTACAATCAAAGAGAATGGAAAAATATTTAGATTTATTTATTCTATTCAATATTTCTTGTTTAACTTGTTGGCCCATAATTATAACTAGTTCATTTTGAATAATGGGAGAAAAATAACTAAGAACTTTATCATGATTGTAACTATGCTTGACATTATTTACATATTCGGCTAATAAAGGATCATACTGACTTATTAATTCGATTAAGCCAAGAAAAATTCCACAATTATCATCGCCTACTTTGTCAGATGAACCTCTTAATGGCAAATTATTTTTTGCGCAAAATAAAATGACATTGCTAATTGTTTTAAGTATATTACGCCATTTTTTTTTTTCATTTTGAATGGCTTCTTGCAAATTATTATCAATAGTTTTACCATCTTTTAATCGTTTCTCAAACTCCTTCCAATCTACATAACATTTTCGATGAAAATCACTTAATTCATGTTCAGAAATTCAAGGATTTAAGTGTTGCCAATCGGAAAAACTGTCGTCACAAAATGGAGATTTTCGCTTATGGTTTTTTTTTTTAAAAAGCAAACATAGGAAACAAAACAGAGCGTCTTTACTAACACTATAGACTAACCACTGTCTTCTCACATTTTCACCATTCGGTAAATATTTGAAAAACCATTTGCCATCAAAATGCCTACCATCTGCATTTAATGGAAAGTAATGATTTACGTAAAGGTGATACTGTTCCTGTTCAACAATATAAGTTCGAATTTTATCTGTTAAGATTGGCCAATTTCCAGGGTCACTAACACATTTTGTATTAACAAACATATGTTCATCTTTCTGAATAATTTGTTGTTCAATATCCTCTTCTAGGTTTAATACATTTTTTGATGTTGATTCAAGTACTGCACAAGGATTTTTTTTTTCGCGATTTTCATTGTTCAGTTTTTTAGTCAACCAATTGACCATATTGGTTGCCAATTTTTCGTCTAATTTTTTTTTTTTTTTGCTTCTTTCCTTCTCAAACCATGCACCAGAATGTTTTTTTGAAGTCATTTTATGTCTACCTATCCTATTCAAAAGAGGTTTGATAATGAATATAGTGAAAATGATAGAAATAATAGGAATTCTATATATTTATTCTTTAGTCAACACTTTTTAATACACATGGTAATATGGTATACCTAATAAAAATTTTAATGCATGTAATATTTATAAAATATGTATCATGAAAGTTAAAACTAAGGTTGGGTGATCATAGAAATAAAATTATATTGTATAAAATAATATTAATATTATAATATTATTAATAA